AGCAAGCGAATATAAATATTATATATACAAAGATAATCGATCAATGAAAATGTCTACTGTCAATCAGTCGGAGAAAATCAATGTTTCTATTTAAAAAACTCGACTCGAACGATAAAGCTACTGTTAAATTCTTCTTCCTTGACACACATTTGCGGAAATAAAGTTGGAAAATATTTTAGGATGATATTTCCCAGAATCCTTTTTAATTATCCTAATTGCCATGCTTATTATTTATCTTTCATGAAGCGCTGTAAAAAAATACACACCGTGACAACAGAGATTGTTGTACGCATTCCCACGTTTCTCTCATTTCGACGATTTATTTACGGTTCTTAATCTCGTAAGTGCTTGTTGTTCTCAAGCATTAATTTGTTTCGCAAGATGTGAAAATCAAACGTCTCGCCGACGGGTCAAATGTCGTTCGCCGACCTGAAAACGCACCGCTACACTTCCAAGTGCCGAATTACCGCAATCTGCTAATAGATTCTGCCACGTGATCCAAGGACCGTGCGCAGCACGCAACATAGGAGACAGATCTCCCTCGCGCTCTCTTTCTTTCTCTCTCTCTCTCTCTCTCTCTCTCCCTCTCTCTCTTTCTCTCTCTCAATCTCTAGTACGATTCTGTGGTGGGGCATGTTACGAACGGCGTTACAGAAGTGGTCACGCGAGTAGGAGGAAACCGCTGGAAACGTTTCAGTGTCGTGCGAGCCACGATTGCGTTTCACTTTGCTTTTGTCCGCCGCTCGTCGTCGTCCCGATTTGGTTCGCGCGATATTTCGATGAACCTGCACAAATACGTTCCGACCGAGATGCGCGCTTCGGTCGTGCCGTTTGATTTTCCGCGATCTCCCGTGGGACGACGAAACCGACGAGTGAAGAAGCGGAGTGACCTAATTAACGTCCCGCGAAGACCAACTTCGAAAGTGCACTCTCTTTCGGCCGCAAGTGATTAGAACGTGTCGGGCGGCCGTGAAAAATTGATTAGCGCCTCTCGGCAATGAACGTGTTAATTGGTCTAATTCACGCGTAAATGCAGCGGGCGATAAGTGATTCTCCGTTTAAAGGAAGCAGCGATTAACCGACAGCGGGAGTTTATCGCATTCGTCTTCCGACGAGTCGGTTAGTATAAAATGATTGAATAAATAATGAATAACGCGATTTATGTATCGTCGCGTTTGCTGAAGAGAGCTTCATTAAGAACTTATTAACTGTGAAGAGCTGTTAAATCGATATTTGTGAAAGATGAGCGTTATAAAGTTACAGAAAGTCGTTTTACGCGAGTCACGTTTTATGAATATGCATTGTTTAAGGCAACTTAGAAATAAGGTGTTTAATTCACAAATGCACACCCTGGCAAGATTACGCTAAGGATTGTAATGCGTTTAATATGCATTTAAAAACCACGCATGACAGTGCTTTGAAAACATATTATGTTGAGGACATTACAAGTGGCGGATATATGTATATACATGTTATTAGCTATGAGGTCGCACTTGACGCATACATGCGCACGATCTCGGTTTCAAACGGGCGCGTTTATCGCTCGTGGGAAACCGATCTTCTGGTTTGCATACGCGAAACATTCTCGCAGCGCGTAGAGAATCAGATTGCACCGCCGATTCGACATATATGTATAATTTGGAAAGGTTCGCGTCGAAAACAAGTCGCAATTACAGCGGCGGATGTGTGATAAACATTTAAATTACGCTTAAGCGTATGCATTTACGTAGGTAACTTGGAAATGGAGATAAATAAAACCCCACTTCCTAGTTTAATGCGAAAAGCTTGTAGCGAAAATACGAACCATTTAACAAGTGTTTCCTTTCCGACTAAAAACCAATACGATTTCATCGAGTTTCTCGTTTTCCATATTGATAAAAATAAAAAATATTATAAACCGGAATTGTTAGGAGAGGAAGTCGCGTTGTTAGGAGAGGAAGTCGCGCTATAAAAGCAGTTGTATCGAGCTGGCGGTTTGGCGATATCGCTATCATTTCTACTGGGACACGTGAATAATCTCGCCGCGTGCCGTCGTTTGCATTGCACCTTTAACGGCGAACTGTGCACGATAATTACGTAACACCGTGACTTGGATTCAAACGAGGGATTTTACCGATCGTTAGATTCGTTTCTTATTAATAGCGCAGCCGGTTTCTGCAATTTTAATAATGGAATGGCTTGTGTATGCGGAAAATATAGCGCCGGATTACCGAATTAATTTAACTCTTAATGAGACCTCTCGGAGCTTAAACTTTGCCAATTCTAATTCCTGTTCGCATACAAAAAACGAATAATTCAGGTATATTTGTTTTCAGGTATATTCTTTGCAACAATAAAGGTGTTAATATATTAATACAATATAATAAGGTTACTAATTTTCATACAATTTTTATCTTTTACTTTTAAACAAAAAAATTAAATTTTAAATGAAAGCAATTAACATTACGCTTAAAAATCGATAAAAAAGAAGTGAGAAATCTGAGAAGCCCTTTACTATCAACTTTTTTCTGCGTCATTAATTAAAGATTAAAGGCGCTATAAAGTCTTTACCTTGTACACGTTATACTTCGAAATATAAATAAGTATAAAATATGCTAAATCTGATAATCTATTTTCATTTATATATATATATATATATATGTCTAATAATGAACACGTTTGCGATTAAATCGGACAGTAAATCACCTCGCGGTGATCGATGCTGCACCGATTTGCAAACTGATTTAGATTAGAGACCGACGGCCTTATCTCGATTATCCGGCAGCACGGCAGTTAGTTAATGCGAGCTGATCAACCATGAAATTCTCATGCAAGCGAGGCACGACAAGAAGAAACCTCGAGTCGAGCCGCTCATTTAGCCGCGGTTTAATTAGTAATTTATACGATTTCCCGCAGCGCGGTATCGTCCATCACGACCGGTCCTCCCCCTCGATCTCCACAGCTCGCGTAACTGCGAAATTTGTGACAGGCAAGACAGCTGTTCTCTAATAATTAACCGGCACGGCTAGCGACCAGTCGAAAACAAATATCCCGTCCCGAGAGGAGACCGATCGATCGCAAAATTTCTCGCGTGATGACGTTGTATGTTGCGCTCGAAAGGAGATCGATGAAAGTGAATGAAATATGCTGTTTGTTCTATTTCCAACCATCTAGATGCATATTTAACTAATGCGCCGATAAGCCTGATTATTGCTTCAGCGCTTTTTACTCGAAACAGGTAAATTGAAAACGATAGAATGTTTGCATCGTTTTATAACGACTTTTTAAATGGCGCCTTTTCTCGGAAAAATATGAGTGAGTTTACGATATCGGAGATTTCACTCGGAAAAATATTAGGGAGATGGAACGACGAAGAGACGATACCTTCTTTCACAAACGCGTGGGTGGCTTAATCAATATAGTCAATCTTTTACAATACCGCGTTTGTCACCTTAAACCCGAGACTCTGTTTACACGCCGGAGATAAGAGATACTTTACACCAAAACATCCGACACACACACTCGATCACGTAACAGTCCCATCATCGGAGAGAAAGGTGCAATTGACACTGCAAACACGACTGAGGAATTCCGTAACCGTATTTTAATGATCTTGTTGCATTTTGTCACGTCTAACATCGTCTAATTGCGATCCACATCGATCGGATATTGTTGCGAAAAGCGTGCTTCTGCGAAACCTTATTGGCGCATCGCGATTTATCGAGGAAGCCGCGTCACACGGCAGAGTTAGGCGCATTTGTCGCGGACGCTTAATTACGGGGATCGATCGACGGTGGAATCGCACAGCTTTTTCCGCCGTTTAGTCAGACCGAAATTCGTCAACGTTCAATTTATCGGTTTGCCTCTCTCCATCTGACCGCAGATTGCGAATATTACCTTCGTTCGAGTTACCCATTCGAATTTTGCTGCTTGCGAGAGGCAGTCGGTTTTTCCCGCATACCTTTATTTTCTTCGAAAGAAGATATCATCGCAGTAATATGATGGGAAAAAAAAAAAAAACGTTTTGCGTCAGTCATCTATGATTTCCAGAAAATTGATAGAATTCTCAGATAATAGAAATCTGATACTGAAAATTAAATTAACGCTATTCAAAGGAGAAAAAATAAACCTAGAATGCAAGCCAAAAACAGATTTTTATCCATTTAATGTTATAACTATTCTATTCTAATGTTGCTGTTGATAAAAACCTGTCATTTTTTCTGCACATTCTACATTTCCGTTGAAAGAAAAATTTTATCGCAAATGAAAAAACGTCCGTCATTTTGGATTTTCAGAAAAAAATTCATAGAGCTCTCAAATGTTGGAAAATAAAAATTTAATATAAAAAATTTATTTAAATTTATTTGAACTAAAAAAACAAGCATCTAAGTTTAAATAAATATTTATATTTTTCGCGTTATCGCACTAACGCATTAAGAAAATGAGGGAAAACGAGAGATATGATTTCGAATTGTCTTTATTACGGTTTTCCTTGCGTCATCCGCAATGCACTTTGCCCGTTAATACCCTTCGCGTTTTAACGCACTCCGACATTTCTAGAATAGGATCATAACTAGGATATGTATGTGTGTATGTGTGTGTGTGTGTGCATGAAATTGAACTGCAGATTGATTGCAACAGAAAGTGCGTCACGACGTGAATCGATTTTTAATCGGCGAACGTGTTTTTCGCGACTTTTATTTCCATACTTATAAAATTTTGTTGCTTTGTTGCGTCACGCGAGGATAAAGACGGTAGATTTTATCGCCGCAAGGCTTTATTTTCCCACTGCTGACGTCGCGCGAGACGAAAAGGAGCGCGTTCCACGCGTGATGTTACGCGTGAGACGGTGTTAAATTCACTGCTCTCGTGTAATTTCGCGCGGCTGTTCTGCACATGACGCGGCTTATATAAGATCGTTACAATGCCGTGTCGCATCACGTTGAAAGTAAATTAGAAGAGAGAGCGCTCTCTTTCTCTTTTGAGCCAGGTGTGACGTTTAAGAGTCTCATTACCGACAGTCATTCTCAAAGAGCGAACTTATGCAGTCGCGTCCTTCGTGCGAGTAATGAATACAGAAGAAGCGACGGGGAAAGATAAAACACTTATTTAACACTGCGGCGCGCAAAAAGCGCCTGATAAAAAGTGACATAAATAAAAAAAAAAGTGAAAGACATGACGTTGCGTATAGCCTACCGCGGCGGCGCGTTATCATACATCGTAAACATCGTAAATTTAAGATGCATTGTCTCCACGTCAGTGAAGTAAACGACCATAAAACTGTGAAAAGAGAGCGATACGCGCAGCTCGGATGGAAAAGACGACAGTTATTAATGATGAACGGGTAGCGCGAGCCGCCCGCGCGATGCAGAAAGAAATAGCGAAGAAATAGCGCGAAGCAACTGGTCTAGCTATGAGTCACTCCACGTCGCGAGAGCGACGGAAGACCGGGCTGAAATTATACGGAGCGTCACTCACACATCAGAGCGAAAGTTCGTTCGTCGCGTCCCGCGAGAGTCGTCGGCTCTCCCGCGTGCGTCGTTTTCATTCGGCAGATAAATCTGGCGCGTTATCTCTCGCTCGTTAGCGACCATGGTCTCGGAACGTTCATCGCTGCTGCCGTTGCGACTTTATCGTCAAAACCACGGATGCTGATGAATGTCTTCTTCCGGCGCGCGTTATCGCCTCGCACCGCCCGCGCTCTGCAACGAATGCGCGAGCTTTCGGCAAATGACGAAAATAATTAAATTCCGAGAGAGAGGAAGAGTCCCTCGATCGCGCGAGAGCTGGCCGCATTGTGCGCATTTGCAAGACGGACGCTCCACGCAAAAGAATTGATCAATTAGTCCACAAATTGGCCAAGTCGAAACGTATGTATCTCGTGGGATCATAATTATCGTAATTATCGACGCGTATCGAGCAAGAGTTCGCCGGGTATTTCAGTCCCGAAAGAATTCTCAGAGAATTACACTAAATTACGGTAGTTATATTCAAATGTAAAAAAGAAATAATACCTCTGTGGCGAGATATTACCTGCTTTTACGGTGGCTTATTACTTTGATGACAGGGCAAGAAGCAGCTCGCGATTCACGAGAGGCAGAGGAAACGACGGAACAGCCGACACATGTAGCATTCGGGTGAGTGAGCATCCTTGTTTCAATCTTCTGCGCCCGCGAACTCGGGGGCTATTGTGGCGGCCCGATGTTTTCCGCACGACGTCACATGTAAACGCGATCGTCTAAAGCTCTGAAGTACGAATACGCGAATGAAAATGCATTTCAACGCAACGTCGAATTTTAATTCAGCAAGCTCACCGTCGTTAATCTTTGCGCCGCGTTTCGTCGTCTATTAAATGTGAATTTTATGCGTGCAATTTGCATGATACACATTTATATACTCTAATTCCCAGTGAATGGGATGCGTGTGGAATGGAATTGGATCGTGAATCAGATTAAAATTGGAAACTTGCGCGCGCGCGCGCGCACGTCGGAGAAGGCACGGGAATGGGACGTGAGAGTAACCGCTTTCTGCTTTCGAGCAGGAAAGTTAGCGGAGTAAGTTGAGGTAGTAAATTTTTAATCTGAAATCCGATTCATCTTCCTGTTCCCATTCTCCGTTATTATGTCAAAAGAATGAATGTGCATTGAGAACGTTGGAAAACATTAAATAATTTAATTGAGAAATAAACGAGCGCGCTGAAAAAATATTCACGGCACGATAAAAATTTAATGAATATAAATCAAACGAAAAAAGTCTTTAAAAATTAATTACAGAATTTCTATGTTATCCATTATGTCGTGTCCGCTCCGCTTAAAATACAGTCGATAATGTATTACCCTCATCCCGACTATTCATCACTTCTGAACGTGTCGTTTTCTGTACTCAGGCATCGGTATAATGAAGCCGTCCATGAAAATGGGAGTAATCGCCTTGATAGGGATCTGCGTAGTGTTTTATCAGTATCACCTGTCTACCGGCATTACTTTCGATCAAGTAACGGCCTTCAATGCGGACACCGTCGCGGAAGACGCCGGGGGTTTGCCGATCGGCGAGGAGGGTGATAACTACGGAAAAACCCCGAGGCTCACCGAGAACATGGTAAAAAAAAATAACGATTATTAATTACCGCGCAATAGAGAGATTAATTGCGGGCTTTCCATTTTCATAGGCGCGTCCTATTAGAATTCCTCGCTTTGTCCGGCACACAAATTATTTTTATTATTAATAAATTAATACATAAATTATTTGTTAAATTAATCATCTATTAATAAATTAATAAATTATTATTATTATAGCGCCCGATCCTTTGGCAGATTAAATTGGATAGAATAATAAATTAAATTTAATGTCAGATAACTGAATACTTTTAAATGTCGGATAACGAATGAAATTCTGCTTACAGATTCGGTACGCCGTGTACCGAGTGCAAACCGCGAACGGCCTGAGTCCGGAGATAAGCTCGATGCTCGTGCAGGAGCTTGTCAGTCAGTTGAGCAAAAACATCTCGGTGGCCTCCAGAAATAATTTCAAGCTTCCGTCACAATCACAACCCCTCGCAACGACGATGCACAAGGCGGTCTCGACGGCGCCCCGTCAACCACAGCCGAATCCCGAAAAGCCCGTTGAGGAGCCTCTGTACATCATCACGCCGACATATCGAAGACCCGAACAGATCCCTGAGCTTACGCGGATGGCTCACACCCTGATGCTAGTCAAAAATGTGCACTGGCTCGTCATCGAGGACGCAGCCGTCGCCACCAAACAAGTCACCAAGCTGTTGGAACGGACGGGCTTGAAGTTCGATCATTTGATCGGTAAAATTTGTCTAAATCTAAATCGCAAAGTCCTATACAATTTTTATAACAGTGATAAATAACTGCTGCTCTCATCATTGTGCAGCTCCGATGCCGGAGAAGTACAAGCTGAAGAAGGGCGCGAAGCCGCGAGGGGTGTCGAACAGAAATCGCGGTCTGCAGTGGATAAGGGCGAACGCCACGCAAGGCGTGTTCTATTTCGCCGACGACGACAATACTTATGATATTGAGCTCTTCGATGAAGTAAGAAATAACTTCATCATTAATTATCGCGTGAGGAAAATAAATTGCAACCTCTCCGTTCTGACAAATCCGTTTCATTAATTATGAAAGCGTATATATTTAAACTCTACCTCTTTTAAAAGCCAATTCGATACTGAACATTCCTCTCTAGTTACTTTCAAATTCACGCACGTTTCAGATTCGCAAGACGAAGACGGTGTCGATGTTCCCGGTGGGACTGTGCACCAAGTTCGGGCTGAGCTCGCCAATCCTGAAGAACGGCAAGTTCGCCGGATTCTACGACGGCTGGGTCGCCGGCCGCAAGTTCCCGGTGGACATGGCCGGGTTCGCGGTGAACGTTCAGTTCCTACATCAACGACCGAATGCGAGTATGCCGTTTCGCGCGGGATACGAGGAGGACGGCTTCCTGAAGAGTCTGACGCCGTTCGAGCCGCGCGACGCCCAACTGTTAGCGGACAATTGCACCAAGGTGCTCGCCTGGCATACGCAGACGAAGAAGAACGAACCGAGTGCGTCGCTCGACATGAAGCTGTACGGTTCCACGAATCTGCCGAAACTCAAGCAGCAGATAGTATGATGCCGGCCGGCCGGGAAGACGCGCGGACTCTGAAAACCTGAATCTTATGTATGTGTGTATGCGTGCGTACGCGTGTGTGTGCGTCTGTGTGTGTGATCCCGCCCTACGCCCTTCGCACTAGTTCGTCGGTGTCACTCCAAAGGGAATTCCCAGGTGCGGAAAAAAAAAAAACTGTGCGATTCAGTGCCTAAAAAATAGTATTTACACCTTCCTCTTTCGCGCGCGCGACGGGGGAGGGACCGTTATTACCTTTTAAGCGTAGCCGGTAAAAAATATTGTTTTTTTATTAGCTTTTACACATCCGCAGCAAGTAACTCACCCCGAAAATGGTCCGCCCGTATGGTACTTCGAGAATATCATAAGGGAGACAACGAGATAGAATCTCCGGGGCGGCGCTTCGACCTCGGTAGTGATTAAAATTTATGATCGGAATTTATATGTTAAAGATTCCAAGTCGTCTGTTTTATGTCCGCTCTTATTATTATTAATTCACATTATTATACGATATATATTGCAATTGCGAATAAATCTCTTTTATAAAACTGAATTAATTTAGAAAAATTTAGAAACAATATCGTTCTCTTACTTTGAACAAATTTAGTAGAATATAATGCGTACGATGGAATGGTCGACGATAGCTGAAGATCGAAGCGGTTTAGAATTATTTCTAACGCGTGCAAAGTGTAGGACCAAAGAAAGCGAACAAGTCACTCGCAGTAACGCTGAGCTCTTAAATTATCCTATTACTTTATTCTACCTGAGGGATTCGCGTCCCGAGTGTTCCACGAAAATAGATTCTCTATTCTATTCCATTCTATTTTAGCGAAGTCTATTCCTAAAGTTGCTGTTGCACGACGCGAGGTCAGAGACGGTTTGACCAAAGAGTAAAAATGTCACGGCAAAGGTGGTTCTACTTTTAGGTGACTTTTACGCCCCTCGAATTCACGCTCATCGATCTCTCAGTTGGTGAACTCGACATACCGCTCATTTAGCTAAGTTACCAAGTTACAATTTTAACGATCGTCAGATTGTTCGTCCAATCCTGCCCCGCTTCTTTATGCGATTAGCAAGTAATAGCCAAGTGTTACGAAATAAAAAGTTAAAGCAAAGTCCCTTGATAAGAAATCCTCGTATCCCTTTTAAAAGCTTTCAAAAGAAACAAAAAAAAAAAGATAGATGTTTAAAAGCGTCATAATACGGAGTATAGTATTTTAAGATTTATCAATCGTCATTTAGAAGTCATCATTTACGAGGACTTCTGATTAAGATACGAAACTCTCTTCGATAGATAATTGAAAATTGTGAAGAATGCACGAGATATTTTTCCGTCAAGTATCTTTGATTTATACTTATATTTCTTTACGGCTATTTTGTCGTGTTCTTTAATACACTGCGTTTATGAATCTGAAAGGGAAATTTATAGCGTAGTGATTGTCTCGAATTTATAACTTAGTCTGAATGAAATTAGAGGAATCTGACAAGTGAATTTTACGACTGAACGTCGAGAAATACTTGTGCGTGTCGAACAACATTCGCCACACAAGCATTCTCGTCTGCATTCGACTGAATAGAGATACTTCTAATTATCGATCCAATTGCTTGTCATTGCTCTTTTATTTCCATTGCTGATATTATAAACAAAATGACGAATTATAATCAAACAGACGAGTGTTGCGTATTTGCGCGCGCGCGTGTATGTGTGTGTGTGTGTGTGTGTGTGTAGAAAATATGTACTTCCTAGAAAGGCATAATATTTAAAGCTACCTTTGACTCTTCTTATACAACATAGTTCGCGCGAGTCGGGTTTCAAAAGATCCAATATGTTTTACGTAGATTGAAAGGAAAAACTAGAAAATAAGAAAGCACCGAGTGCTAAGCAAAATCCAAAGAATCACTCGGATGGTCTCATGGAAACGGTCGAGGTATCGAATCATAATGTACAGTGGAACCTTGATATAAATCCGTATATTCAGTTACTATACATATCTCTATAAAAGTTCGACCAATATTCAATCAAATATACAATTTTATCTACTTGCTTGTGACTTTACTTACACAAGTCTTTCACGTATATATTATAATAATTTATTTAAACAAAAAGACAACGTAGCTATTCTAAATTAGATTGTTACACGTAAAAGAATCTCTAAAGATTAATTGTGTAAAGTAATGATTAATCACTGATTAGAATATTAATTATTAGTCGATTTAATTGGTTCGAGCATTAGGAGTTCTGCTGTACAAACGCTGGGAGATGCGTGGAAAAATTAAAAAAAGGACGCTCCTCTTTCGTTAAACTTTATATCCTTGCAATGTTACAATATGTAACAGTAGCCTTGATCTATTGTCTTTAAAATCTATTATCGCGAAAATCATTAGTTAGATCGGAGTGGCTTAGAAACAATTTTTCCAAAGGTGCGACACTTAAATTTCTTACGACACTTTGATTTTCGCGAAAGTGATTCACTTTATCTTACCTAGCGTGTGACGCTTTGTAGCGATAGACGTAATGACTCTCTTCAGCGTGTGGATGATAATAATTTATCGCTAGAGCGTGAACTATATCGTGTCGATATGACACCAAAAAAAAAAAAAAAAAAAAAACTAAACTCGAGAAAAACTATACATATATAGCGTATATATGATATATCTATGCGTTAATATATTGCACTATTTAGAAATCGGTGAAGTGTCGAAAAAAAGTGCGGAATAGCGTTATATTTCTCGCAATCACACATATCCTAGTTGGAATGTGCGGAGGTTTGTGTACAGAAGATACGTTCCGAAGATTTACGTTCCCGATTGATTTATACGAGAATAACGGTTTGCAATAAACTTACGACAAGCAATACGATTCTAGCACGCGGTTAGATTGTAGAGAGAACGAGAGCGAAGTGAATTATTCTCATTTTATCGGAAAGCCCGAGAGATGTATGTAGCAAGTAAAAAGTTATAGCTTTAATTTCGTGAAAAAAAAAAGAAAAAACAAATCCTAGTACTTAGCGTGTCGATTTGAGACTGTTTGTGATATACGATTGTATATTGTTTTAACGCATCGGTTCTACGCGACGCAACGAGGACGAGCGAAAAAAGACGCCTCGTGTACGCGAGTAATGCTCAAAGTTCCGGCAATTCAGAGGCTAACAGTGGTAACGTATATGCGTAAGCCGGGAAGTGTACATACAAGTTTTTATTTCGAAAGAAGATAATTAAGTTTTAGTTATGTATATATATATATATCCATGTTCCACGCAAATCTGAAAGAATTGCGAGCCATCCTTTTGAGAAACGGAAATTACACAAAGTTTCTTTCTCCATTTACAATCAAAATTATTTACTTCGCATTTATTTTTTAATTTAATATATTTGCAAATTCGGAGAACTAGATGACTCAAAATTATTTCGATGCGTGTAACACATTCGCCTTTTACTTTTACGAAATTTATTTTAAGGACATTAGTATCAGGCCTGATTTCTCCAAGAGAGTGCATCATTCTTTACTATTAATAAAAAAGATGTTTACTATAAATGTAAAACTGTATGCATCTCGGTATCTTTTACTATGCCGTTGCGTGCAACATTTATATTCAATCAGGATAATATAGCCGAATATAGTGATACACGAAAAAGCATAATAAAGATAGGAAATATAAAAACTTCTAAGTCGTCAGAGTCGGATACGTTTAATATGTGCGCTGGCAAATTGTGTCGCGAAACTATGACAAGCTGTTATTGTACAAAAACATTTAGCAGTTTTGCCAGAAATTTCAGCTATGAACAATAAACTATTGTTCGTCAAAATAATTGTTGATCAATTGTGATTATTTCATATTGTATTCCTTTCTCATCTAAACACCTAATAGCATCTAACTTATTAAAAACTCATAAAATAAATAAATATGATATTATTTAAAACGTTTATCTCACAATGTGTGCCTTAATATTTTCTCATCTCATAAACATTGGATCTTTCTCAACTAAATTTTCATATATCTCTAATAGAAGTTTGCAAAGAATACTTGTACTCATGCTTATTTACTGATTTAGATTCTAATTCATATTTACGTGTGTGAAGTTAGCGTATCATATTTTGACATCGTATGAAAAAACGACAGTTCTGCTCGCATACACTATAGTTCTACAGTTCTAGATAGTTTTTAACAATAGTTCTATCGAATTACGCCAAAAAAACAAAAAATAAAATTTTAAGAAATGAGATGCTAACTTCCCGTCTCACCTTCCAGCATCTCACCAGATTTTGAACGTATGAGCCATAAAGTACAAGTATTCAAAGAGTTCTACCGTCTCAACCCATCATATCAATAGTTCTGGTCATAAGAACAATAAAAAAAAATTCTAGTCATTATTAAAAGCACTTCACGCACTGAAATGTAATATGCTAGCGTCACTAGCAATAATGTAAATGATACTAGAGACTGGGAACTATGATTCTATGCTCGTACAAACCCAGAACTATGGCTAGTGACGCTAGCATATCATATTTAGGCACTTTTAGCGGACATAATAATTATAAACAAATATTTAAATAATTGTTTCTGAATAGAACTGTAATGTAAATAATACTAGGGACTGGGAACTATGATTCTATGCTCGTACAAACCCAGAACTATCGCTACTGACGCTAGCATATCATATTTAGGCACTTTGGCGGGCATAATAATTATAGACAAATAGTTAAATGATTGTTTCTAAATAGAACTGTAATGTAAATGATACTAGGGACTGGGAACTATGATTCTATGCTCGTACAAATCCAGAACTATTGCTAGTGACGCCAGCATATTACATTTCAGCGCGTGAAATGCTTTTAATAATGACTAGTAATTTTTTTTATTGTTCTTATGACCAGAACTATTGATATGATGGGTTGAAACGGTAGAACTCTTTGAATACTCGTACTTTATGGCTCATACGTTCGAAATCCGGTGAGATGCTGGAAGGTGAGACGGGAAGTTAGCATCTCATTTCTTAAAATTTTATTTTTTGTTTTTTTGGCGTAATTCGATAGAACTATTGTTAAAAACTATCTAGAACTGTAGAACTATAGTGTATGCGAGCAGAACTATCGTTTTTTCATGCGATGTCAAAATATGATATGCTAACTTCACACACGTTTCATATTTTACTTATTAAATTTTACATTAAAAATATATCAAAGTTTTCATTAAAAAGGTTTAATACTGTACAATAAGTAAATGTATAAAAGAACATTGTGAAACAAATATAATAATGAATGCAGTGAAATAGCATTGTCGCTGGAGAACAAATGATTAATATATCCTACAAATAATAAATTAATGAGTAAGTACTCACCCTACGATCAGGGCCGGATTTTGGCATAAGCAATATAAGCAATTGCCCCGCACCAGCAAGGGCCTCAAAGGTTCCATACAACTAATTTCATACGAGTATTAAATTGACAGAAAAAATTAAGAAAGCCCTCTTTACAGCCAGTGCTTAGGGGCCCCCTACGATCTAAATCCGGCCTTGCCTACCGGTTTGTGCTGTACCGGCATTCGACGTTTCGCAACCTCCTTCTCTTGGATCTTCTCTTGATCTTCAAAAAAAAAAAAAACTCGATATTTATTCGATTCGTACAAAATTATCCGTTCAACTTCGCGGCAGCAGGCAACAATAGCAGAGGAAATCAAAAAAATTAGCGCAGCAAACTCATTCTGTGCGCGCATCTGTCGCGTTTATGCTACACCTAAACTACTTGAATAAGGTTTCGGCGCTTTCCGTATGTAAAAAATAATATACGTTCGCGTTTTTCCACTTTTAGAGCATTTTATTATCTTGTAATGTATAAATATGAATAAATAAATCGCAAATTAAAATAAAGAAAACGTTCGTGAAATGAAATATTTGAAGATTAATTTCTCACTGATTCGTGGGCAGGATCGCACCGACGCGTTTCTCTCATACTCTCTCCTATCCTCTACTAAATTCCTACTCTAGTACATTCCTACTTCGTATCTTTCCACATATCACTTCCACATATTTTTATATACTTACATACTTATATATTTCATATATCTGCATCTAATGCTTTTAAGGATCAATTTCATTTTGCAGGTATGAATATATAAGAAGAGGAAACAGATAAAGATTAATGAGTTCAATTTACTTTTATATTCTCTCCTCTATTTTCCACATTTATATCTATGTACTTACCATTTTTCTCGAATCAAGAATGATGTTCCATTGTCCTGACTCCATTTCGTTTAAACCTGAAATATAAAATAAACAAAATTTATATTTAATATTTATTAATATAATTATTGTTGATATATTTTAATGTGCTAATATAATTTAATGCATTGTTTTTATCTAATTTTAATCTTTTATTTCTAACAATATTAATTAAGTTTCTTGTCATGCTGTTTTATGTCATTTTTTGAAAATTTTAATTCTTTATATAATTATCTCTATATATTCAATTTCCAAATATTTATATTCTTCAAATTTTAATTTAATATTTTTATTTTTCTTCATATTTTAAAATACCAGCTTTTTAATTGCAATTTTTTTAATTGCAATTTTTTTTAAATTGCAATTTGTAAGCATTTATTGCATTAATAAAATTTTCATCAAATTTTCATACATAATAAATACATAAACAATATTCTTTGCGATGGCAAAGTATTTATAATTCATTCAATTTTCATAGCGTATGTGAATAGAATAATGTGGTCTGTAAATTTTGTAACTATTTGTAAATTTTTGTTGAAAGAAAATGTAAAAAGATAAATGTCCCAGTGACACTGAACATATTTCAATCTCCATATATTAACTCAACAATTATTATATAATAGTTATAAATATAGTCCGGAAACTGGTAAATATACATGTCCAATATTCATTGCAAATGTTTAATTAACTATCGTCGTTTAATAATTTTAATTTCAATTTTATTTTAATCAAGTAAATTTTATTCTTTATTATATGTATGCAAAAATAAAAATATTATTATGATAGAAAAAATTATATTTTTAATAATGATTAATTCTAAAATATCCGGCTACTGGAACATTTACCTTATACATTCCAAATTTGTCAAAGTCTGTTTTTTATTGTATAATATATTGTATTGTACATATTATAATTGTATTAATATATTGTATAATACATATATATTGTATAATATATATTATATCGTTGTATATACAATGTGGTTTCTTAATATATTATTTATTTTATACTATCACTGTTTTGCATTTGATTTTATTAAAACACTTTTTCGATAAGCAATGCGTTTTATTTAGCAACATTCTTGTCTTTCATATATTTAAACGGAAAACATATTCTAAAATAAAAAATAATAAATAGATATATCAAATTCACATTTCAATTATATAATAAATTAAACAGATTACTCATTTTCATTATTTCACATTATTTTGGAATCTAGTAGCATCATTTTTTTTGCATTAAATTGGCGTTTTCTGTTTTATAAAAAAATAATTGTTTAATGATACACAAAAGAGTATAATAAAAAGTATAATAAAGATAAGAAATATAAAAACTTCTAAGTTGTCTCGGAGTCGAATATATTTAATAAGTACGTTGACAAATTTCAACGCAAAATTATGACAAACTGTTATCTTGGAAAAATTTTTAGGAGTTTTGCTAGAAATTTCAGCTGTGTGCAATAAATGCACGAAATAGTTTCACAGTATTTATCTATCTAATAATAAAAATTGTCTTTAACTGCATTATTTGCTTAACGATAAAGTTATGTTGACGGGCAGAAGAGGAATAGGAAGACATATTTTTATGCAATACTTTATATCGAATTAAGTCTTTCTTTCGTTATGTTATTTTATTCATTTATCTTCACCTTAAATATCACCAGGAAATTCGTTGGACATAGGGCTGATCTTCCCAGTAGAACACTTTCCTCGAGAAAATATAAAACTGCAAAAAATTAATCGTTAAAATCGTGAGCGACTCTAAACAAATCTGCCATTTTTCTGCCCTCTTCATATTTAAACGATAAAAAATGTACGGCAAGATGAAATAACGCGGTTCTACTAGTAACTGAGGTACTAAAACCATACACACGCAAATAATATAATTGATCTGCGAGAGAAATCTCAAATGATTGACATTCTGCGACATGGCAAACAGGCTCGCGCAGTAAATTGGTATTAACAGATATCTGAACGCGGCGTATCGGCCTATAAACCGATTCCACACGTAGAACCAGTAATGTCGATTGTCGGCTAAAACGTATGGATGAACAAGCGTATTGAAACGAATCACCGTGACCATTAACACAACTACACAACTCGCGAGAATCCAATGCTGGCGCAGGAATCGCAGACATGTTCTCCAATGAGGTACTACGTACGGCCACGAGAACAGCGAGACAAAAGCGGAGAAGTAAAATATTTGGCAAATATGAATTGTTGCGACATGGGCGGTGCGATCGCCGATCACTATGCCTTTGTTCCACACGACAAAGGCAATAAACATCAGACACGTCGTTATATAAGGAAGTAGACTACAGCATACTTCTGCAATAAACTTGAAAAAGAACAGCCAACCTTTGCGCAATTCGTACATTATCTGCTTCCAAATTAACTAGAAATAGTTTAAAAAAAAATTAATTCACGAGATTAATTCTTCCAGTATTTTTATAGCTTGCTTATATAAAACATTTGTGATTTTACTTACACGAATGTGCGATGAAGTATTGAGCACATGTGGCGGAACAGGTTGTTCCATCTTACATTCAAATATATCTAATGCGTGCTCTATCGCAAAAAAGCCGAGCCAAATGATGTTTGTTTGGCGAACAAGTACAGCTATTAGACCTGTGTGACATTAGTCCACTTATTTAAGTTATATTTTACATAATTATAATTCATTTAAGAGCACAGAATGCTTACCTGCAAACGCTGTCATTTTTCTATGCTTACGTTGATGTAGAAATAACATTAAGAGCACTACATTTACAGATACAACGTCTGTGTAATAAAAAAAGCACCAAAAATATAATGGTGGAAAGAGAGTAATGTTATATGTCAATGCAAGTATCAACCAATCATTCCACCGATTTCTTTCATTTGATTTGCAATTCTTCTTTATAATATTATAAAGAAGATAAAGATTTATACATGTCCCAAGTAAATTCACACCTCTTATATATGTAATATCGCAAAGATTGAAGGGTGATAATATTGCAGTAGTAATAAAATATAACCCCGGCAATGTAGTAATTTTTGGATCCCACTAAAAACAATTTAACAATTATTCTTATTGTCAAAAATTAAATGTGATATAAAATTAATTATTTTTTAGCCATATGTTACCTGTGTGAAATTCCATGCACAGTATCTCAATGTTTGAGGTATATGGAAAGCCTCGTCGATGAAATAATTTGGTTGAATACGATTCAAATACCGAAAAAGCAGTATAGTGTTCGTAACAAATAAAATTAACGTGGAATACATAAATATCTTGTAGTTCAGTCTCACATAGCTGAGACGAGATAAGAGGCTCATGGTTGTTTTACCAATGCAATATTTAAATAAAAATAGAAATTTCAATTTAATTAAATAATTGCACGCACATAAAATTAATATTACAATAAATGCATCATCACAGCCAGTACATTTCTTTTTAGAAGTTATCTAACTTATCTAACTCTAACCTAAATTATACCGTGCTCTTTAGCTCCTCGCGAAATTACATAAAAATGTAACACTATTATGATATATATTTAATAGCGAGAAGATTGTAACGAAATATATTTTAATTTCAGTTCATAAAATTGTTGTTTAAAAGCCGGTATATTGAAGCCACGCGCAAACATCACATACGCTTATGTTTACAATCAATCTAGACAACCAACGCCATCCTTAGGCGTTTCTCTGAAATTATGTAGTTAAGAAGTTATTATTTTATAGTTGGTACAATGAGAGCTTGGTTAAGTTTGCAACACTGCACGCGCGTATATCGCGTTCAAATTGTTCGAAAATGTGACCGTTACAAGCAATTTATTTATCTCTATTATACTGTATTGACTGTGCCATCATTCGCCTCAGACATAGTCACGACATCATGATATCGAACTATTAGCAATAAATAATGTTATGCAAATATGAGAAATAAATTCGCTCACCGGCTGTCGTATCCCAACTCATTGGGTAGCTGCCTCCCTTGATGCAATACTCGCCCGGTCCGATCCGTTCTTCGAGCACTTGTTCACATAATATCACAAACGCGCGTCACTTTATTCGGCACTCCCGGTATTCACTCGTGCGCGACACCCATCTTTGACGGGAAAAAAGCGGACAACGAGAACCGAATTTTGCTTTATTTGGACTGACATTGCGCAAAACAAAGATGGTAGCCGCGCAAGTTCGCGTTCAAACACGAGCACTAACAGATCGCGATTAACTATCGTTAAACTATCGACACACACTGTCACATTCTTCGCTATAACATCTGCGCGATCTTTTTCCGACATTCCCGACATTCCCAACACTTATTTAGATACGGTGTTCACTTCTAACGGTTAAAAAACGCGAATAATACGGAGCCGATCGTACTCCGTCCGACCGCGGATGGAAATGACGAGAAACTAATTGTAAGATGGCGGTCGCATAATGTTGTCGTACAAGTGCCTATTCAAAGTGCACATTGCAAAAAACCAAGCAAACTGAATATCGTCAGGCAATAATAACATGCTTCGATAACGCGCTATAATTATTGTAATTCAATTTTTACAACATTCGACTTCTGACACCGATTTTTATGGTTAAAAAGCGCAAATAACACGGTGAAGCGTTGCATTCAGTTATATGAAATGAAATGATCGCGTCGGCGCATGTCCATTTTGCGTCGAATAAATATCATCGAAAAGCATTGCTTTCATATACGCGATCATCGGAAAACATAATTAATTAGTTTCACATACCTCGATAATTATTGATACGACATTTGCATGTTCATTTATTTAACGCCGCTGATACTTGCTCGAACGCGATACTCGCCTACGACGGTCAAAAATAACGAATGACGCGGAGCAATTTTGCAATTCTTGACTTCGGTTACGAACAGTGATACCAAAATTCAGACGCGACTCACACGTTACATGCTTTTGGCATCATTGGTTTTAGGATATATTCAGGCAAATTTATAGCGCACAAGCATATGCATAAGAAATAGGATTGGTCTATTTCTTTATGCACATGCTTATGGGCTAAACAAATTTATCTGAATATATACCTTCATGAGTCATCGCGGCGCGAAACTAGATAGCGTTTGAAAATTGAACAATGTGACGTTGCATGCTTGTTTTGAAATTAATTTCTAGACAAATTTCAATTTACATTGGATTAAAATTTACTTGGATGTCCTTTTAACATTTCTTCACAGATTTTTAAATGTTTGAACAAAATGTTTATTATACATTACATATAAAGTCTCCAGAGAACTATTACAACCCTTCAAAAATTTTTCTTTCTTTTTTTTTTTTTTGAGAGAGCTAAATAAATTTTTGTACAATACATCAGTGCTTTATGTTGATGATGGCCCTGGAGATCTCTGTGTATAAGCATCGTGCTTCTGTTTCGGTTAATCACATGCAAACAATCAACTTCTGCTTATATACTTTGATTACATCATATATTAATCCATATATTGATATTATTCATTATGCTAATAACATTTGATAGATTTACATTGCAAATAGTTGCCATACATTTTATATACGCATTTTTATCTGCATGCAGCTTTTATTTGCATACTGATAACATACAAGTTTTCAACAAACATGTTAATTATTCTTCATAACAATAATACCAAAAAATAGTAACATGTTCGTCAGCACCATTTTTTAGACAAATTTAGAAAACAATTTTTTATAAAAAAATAACAAAAAGATCTTTTAACAAAAAATTTGCATGAAAAAATCGGCTAGTAGGAATTTGTTCACTAATTCATTAATCTTTTTGTTATTTTATTTACATTTATACTTCACGTCACGCAAAACTGTTTTAGTTGTGCCAGTAAAAAGAAAAGGGATTACAACCCTTAAGTACGGATTTTACTTTTCATTATTAATATGTTAATAAAGTGTGCATGCTTTTTGAAGTTATAGTTATACATTCTTTTTCTACATATTACCATTTAATGAATTTTTGGTACGTAGAAACATATAAAATGCAAAAACTTTTATATTTTGTTGTACTTTCAAAATTTATAGAAAGGCAATATGATCAAAGTTGCTTCATACTTAAGGGTCCCATAGCTGATTGTTGTCAATAGTATCAAAGTTATTAAATTAAGTCTGCTTTCTTCACTGGGTATCAAGTAAGTGTAAAAGCTATAGTCGATAATCACACTGGCAATATTTTATGGCACAAATTGCATTATTTCCTACTCGTTACGAAATAGTTGTAGAGAATTACATTTCCGTTTCTATTTCCATATAAAAAAATAATAGCAAAATTTTGTTGCTTTTTGTCGCTTTTCGTGAAAATTTTACTGCAATTTTAAATGCACTTGAAAAAGAAACGTAAATAATTCGCGGAGAAAAACTAGATTTTGTAGTCACTCAAATGTGATGCGCAGTACATTATCAAGCGTAATTTTTATTAAGCGCAATGGAAGACAAATATGTATATGTATATATGTATATATATGTATGTATATGTATATACATATACATATACATACATATATACATACATTTCACAAGCAAGATTGCTTAGTGAGGTCTACAATTACTAACGTTAAGAAGTATTTAGTTTCAAGCACATCTTATATTCCGAAATCATCTGAAGGACGCTCTTTGCTCGCACCGCGAGTTAACGTATTGATAATTAACATCTGATTTCCTTACCATTACGTACGTGTACTTTGTATCGCGGAATGGATGTCGTGACTCAATTAAGTGACTACCGAAAGTAATTGTACAATACTTGTATACAGATGATCGAAAAGTGATTGCGCATCGCATTCCGCATGCATTTATCGCAAAAATGGCGTTACGATAGGGCGATACAGTGATATAGTTTATTGTTCCCTTCGTTTATAGTCTGGTTTATATGGTACGATTAATACTAAACCAATTATTTGACTAAGTTAAAAACAGAACACTTTACTGAGTACGCAAGAACACTTTCTCAGAACCGTAACTCGCGTTCATCGACCATCTTGTACGATTGTAAAGATACACATATCGTCTGTGCTGTATATATACTTTTCGAAATTCTCTAGAATAACTTATTAAGACTCGAATAGAATAGAAATCAGACATGACATCTGTAACAAGCAGTATCATTTTGTTGACCACAAATTTATTTATGTGTTCTTAATCCTAATCTTAATTTTAATTTATTTGCTCGTATATTTTTAGTATTTTTTTAATATCGGGCTCTTGCAAGTTCAATTAGCGAGCTATGGCAACGTTTTGATGGGCGATAAACCGCGCGATAAGTGCGAATATGTTTGCCGTGGTAGATGGTCGATCCCCCGATTGCGAAGTGGTTTCGCAATCGTCAGTCGAGGAGACGCAGGCCGCGATTAGCGAACATTAGCTCATATCGACGTGGTCGCATGGCAATCGGCCCCGTTCTGCGTCTGTTGTGAAGTGTGCGGCAATGATGCGAGCTCGTTCCTGCTCAGATGCTGAACAATTCCTGCACCGAGGGAGTCACCGATGACGTTTACCGTCGTTCGACAACGATCTCTGCAAACAGAAAGAGATAAAAAAATGAAAACGCTCTTTAAAATAATAAGACAATTAAGCATATATAAGAAGAGCACTTACAATAACCAATCGACTGCAAGAATTAACGATACGTCGTTGGCAGGAAGTCGAACCGTATCCAATACCATGACCATGGTCACTAGACCGGCCTGCGGGATTCCAGCCGCACCAATACTGGCAGCAGTTGCCGTGATACTAAAATAAATATATTAATAGAAATAAAATAAAAATATACGAGATGGAAAACGAAAGAAATTTATCATCCCATTTATGTTGCAATCCGCTGATTTATGCGAAAAAAGAAACACATCAATTTTATTTTCAAAGAAACCTAGCATATTTTATTCAACAAATATTGTTTTTCGCACGAATTAGTCAATCACAAAATAAAGAGGATGAAAAATTTTCTTGAACTCTGTATATCTTTCAATATTTTCAGTTTTTTGTGATAAGAAAAAGAAATGAACAGGAAGACTCACCTTACTGCTACCAGTTGTCCAAAGGAAAGACCGACTTGGCGCACTTGCGAGATAAAAATGGCAGCTACAGCTTCGTACAAGGCGGTTCCATCCATGTTTACGGTGGCTCCAATCGGCATGACGAATCTGGTGACGCGCGAATCGATGCCATTTCTATCCTCGAGACAGCCGATAGCGATAGGCAGCGTCGCTGAGCTCGAAGATGTGCCGAAGGCAGTGACGAGCGCCTGTGCCATATTCGAGATATAACTATACGGGTTTTTCTTCGTAAGAAGAAAGTACATCCCCGGCAGTATCAGGAAGCCGTGTATGAGAAGAGCAATTAACACAGTCAGGAAGTACATTCCGAGTTGGGCGACCACCACGTCCAATGATTCCATGTCCGTAATCTTGGAGGCGACCAGAAAGAGTACACCGACCGGTGACAACCTGAAATAAAACAGAAATTATTTTAAGATTCTTTAATTATTGAGGAAAAGAATAGCGACGTGCGATACGAGCGGAAATGTGCGATCATCACGACAGTTACGCGATCGTAACTACAATATTACGCAACATCGACGTTGTTATGCAATTAATACGTGAATTTTCCTTGAAAAATTTAATGTGCTTTGAGAAGCGCATACTAATTTGCAAGTCTTACCAGATGACCCAGTTGGTTATTAACATCATAGCGCCGGATAGCGACTCGAAAAAGTTTAATAACGGCTTGGCCTTCGGTCCCATTTTACCGAGAGCGATGCCCAATACCGTCGCGAATACAACGAGGCCGAGAATATTGGTGCCGGACACTTCCTTCTCCACTATTTCCCAATCCTCTATGGGAGCTAATAACATTAAACGCTAAATTATATTATGAATAAGAACGACTCGTTTCGTCGCTGAAATTCATGCCATGTTCGCTGCAAGTTAAGATATAAAAAAATGATTACCATTGGTGGTATTTGGCGGCGGCTTGAGATCGGTTTGATGTTGAGCGATGCAAGCTTGTACGAGATTCGGCGGAAACATGTTTCTAACTAAGTCCATCAAAGTGTCGGTGGTGGAAACATTTCGTGTCACTATTTTGCTCTCCTTTGTGGAACTGCCAATTCCAGGTTGGATCGAAATGACGAGAATTATACCTGAAATCAATTCTCACCGTTACACACTATGAATAATGGAAACAAATATTTCGAGTGAAGGAAATAAGAAGAATGTTGGTTCGCAGTTTTATGATAAAAATCTCAACAAGATTAATAAGTCAATACGCGAACGTTTATTTCGTTGTGTTTTATTGATTTACTCTACATCGCAATCACGAATGAGAAGAATTCGCTAAATAAGTGCGATGACATGATGGCGAGAAATAGAATCGTCCAGCTGGCACGATGATATCGCAAGAAGAAGAAGAAGGATTGACGCCAGAGGAAAAGTTGAGCGTACGATATGCATAAATCGAGTTATAACCGGTCTAATCTTGAAACTAAAGTAATAAAACGTCATATCTGTCCGACGATGTTGCAAGACAAATTCGTGCAGACTCCCTCTGAGATAATGTGCCCAAGTAATCTTTTCGCGTGCGCGCGTGTGTTGTCGCGATTCTTCCTCAGTCGTGCACATTCATTAATTAACTGAGATGAGTCACAAGAATTCAGGGCTATCACACGACTTTCCGCGATATGTAAATGCGCGGGGACCATGCCATCTGCTGTTTGTTGCATCATTTCGTCGTTTCTCAGAAATGTAACATCGTTAATGCATTCTTATTATCACCGAGAAATTAAAGATGCCCGGCGCGATTCTTTGATAGCAAACAACTCCTTCTTTCGCGCGCATTGTCGCCGCCGTTGAGCAATCATTTCGTTTAACCTCGGGACACATTCGTTTTAAACACTAAATACGTTCAGCTGTGCGAAAAGATGCAGCCGATACTGTCTATTGTTCCATATTAATTACGTCTCGATTTAGAACGGAAATTTCTTCATCTATCATTATCCTTTCACAAAATAAAATAATTTTGCTTTGATTAATGTGATAAAAATTATTTTATAGATATGATGATATAAATAATTGAATTGAAGGGGCAAATGAGGTTCTACTGACCTAATACAACGGCACAGACGGTCGTGACCATGTAATAACCGATCGCACGCGCACCGATTTTGCCGCTGAGCGATAGATCGAGCGAGCCGATGGCCGACACCAAACTCGAGACTATCAATGGCAAGATCAAGCTCTTGAGCATACGCAGGAACAAGTCGCCGACGTAATTGATGTACATGATCTCGCGGGGTGTCCATCTCTCTCGCGAGTTTCGCAGGATTATGCCGAGTACCACGCCACCGATAACACCACCCACAGTCAGTATAGTCAGCGCGTTATGTTTCAGGCATGACCGCACCCTGCCACCCCTAGTCTGCGGCCTCTTGTTGGGTTCTTGCGGGTAATATGAGCTTCTTTCCTTGATTTTGCCCTGGTTCTCCGCCCCCGATAGCGGCGATCTAAAATGTATCAACAGAATATGTATTTCTTTTTATATCTAAGAATGTTACTAAAGATATTTGAACAGAGAGATTTATTATTATATGAATAACCCGCTGATAACAAGTTGTCCTCAAAAGATATTAATAACTCAACAATAAACGCGCATCAGCAATATATGGATTTCTTTTCATATCTACTGTTCTTCTTCTTGCGTGAAACTTTTCTGTGACAGAAAGTTTGATTATTTTCGTTACTAAGAACGTTTCTAAATGTGTTTGAGTAGAGAGAGATTATGATGAATAATAAATCGCTGATAATAAATTGACTTCAAAAGATGCAACTTTGAATAGCTAATCTTACATAATAAATGTACGCAAGTGCATTATATATTATATAATTTTATCATTTTCAAATGCAAAATATTTATTATTATTATTCGCAAGTACAATATTCATTATATATTATATATTGTCCTTCTTGGCAGCGAACGTGACTTTTCCGCATCTTCTACAAAACCTTGAAAGTTATAGACAGCGACATAAATCTTTTCGCAACATGCGACAATCAATAAACACACGTAATATTACTAATGCCAAAACTTAAATTTGTGTGATATAAATTTATCTGTTGTATAAATCAAAATTATAGTTTATCTTTCGGGAAACTTTAAATATCTTTATATGCAATATCAACACTTAAGAGCGTATCAACAATTAATCCCTATTAATATCAGTCTTGGTAGCAGTCTTAGAAACGTCGGATTTTCTCTGAATCCTACTGACAATTTGTAATCTGTCACCGACAAGATATAGATATAGATAAATCAGTGAGTCTTTTATTGCTGGGATTATTTCGCGCGATGTTGTAAACTATTTTGTAGTTTTACAATTCTGTAAACTTGGAAACTCATTTTTTACAAATTCTATTTACTATCGTTATTCTTATCGTTGATTATTTAATAAAATAAATGCATGTCATTTTTACGCATCACAAATAGATCACAAATAAATTTTGCTTACCCTATTCCATCAGCATTCATAATACTCGTACAACCAAAATTGCACAAAACAATATATTTGCAAATTTTATCTCACTTTGTGTGATTCGAATATTAATGATTTGCACGTTTTTCGATTGTTGGCAGCGGCAACTCTCGCAATGCTGCTACCGCGAGCAATTCATCGCGAGTCTAGCACCTTTCGAAACGATTTCCTCTGCGGTTAAGCACAGACTGTTTTAAAACATCGTTTTAAACCAACTAAAGCTAATAAACTTCATGCATAATTCTTTAAGATACACGTAATCTTAGAAGCATTCGCGAAGAAATAATTAAAAGCATGACATAGACGGACACAACAGTTGTACAAAGTACGCGCGTAAAAAAGAAGATTCAGTATTTTATTCTATCCTTTTATTTTATCAAATATTGAGATTTTATAGGAATTTTCTATAGTGGACTAAATAACGGGAAAGTTGCCACTGCCAGGTAACTCTAATTCAGCGATGACGCGACTATATGCATTATTACAATAATAATACACGGAAGTATATCAATAGCACCCACACGTGTTCCTACACTTGGACGTTGTCAGTGAAAGATGAGAAATTACACTGCGACGAATTGTCGTTGGATAAGCTTTATTAACACCACAAGATAACGATCTGCCAATCTTTCATTGGTGTATACTAGCGCACGAGCCAATTACAAGAGACCGCATTTTTATTATTATGGTATTGCGTTTACTGACACGGTTTGCGGTTATTATGAAATTAAAGGATCAAGCGAATGATAAACATTTTAGTGTCACGCACATTATTTAATCCACTAATATAGCGCAGATGTTTCTTTGAAAGTTACTGGAAAACAAGTTTAATACTACCTTGAGAGATATATATAATGAGACTTTCACTGAAATTTTTATCAAGTTCTAAAATGTTTTTTTTTTCTTAGAAGCCAAAATGTTGTTTAACATTTTTATTGGGAGCCAAAATGCTCTTTAGCATTTTTTATTGGTAGTCAAAGTGTTCATTAATATTTCTTAGTAAGAACCAAATTGCTCGTTAACAATTTTTATTATGGACAACAATCTTTTTTATTACCCAAATTTTTCAGCATGTTTTATTAAAATGCTAAAATGGCCTCTAGAGTTTTTTATTAAGAGCCAGCGTTTTAAATTGTATTTTTGTCATATTTATTTTTATTTTCGCTTTTCGAAAAACATCTCGGTTAGAATACGGAAGAATTTTTGATTATTAATAGATGATTACGCAACGTTATTTCTGCATTCATTGGACAGTCTATTATGCGACATAAAAAAAATACGTATCGCATAATAACGTCGCATTCCTTTTCGTTTTTGCACTTTACGATACGCTATACATGCGGAATTCATCCGCGCGTAATTATGTGCGTGACGCTATAAAGTACGTAAAAGGCAAAAGAGCACGAATCGCATCGAGTGTGACATTCGTGTGGGTGGAATAAAAAATTCTTACGTCGAATATACAATTAATTTATTGTAAATTTAGGTAAAAAAAAAGATATGTGGTTGTTAAAATGTCATCGACATACAATCGATACAAATATCTTAAACGCATGTGTCAGCCGAAAAGCCGGTCAGGGATAACAACTTGTGTAACTTTTCACTGGTTACGTCACCGATCTATTCGATATGGTTTCGTCTGTATCTAATAGTTTTTCAAAGGCGCACTGTTATGTTCTGGCAATGTATAAATCTCAAATGTCTCAACTGACTCAGATTTCAGTTGTGTTTTCTATAAAATTCTAGACATCAATTTAGATAAATTAGAATTTCTTTGAACTAATTTTTTATTTACATAAACCTCAATTTTATTATAGTATTAAGTTAGTGCAAAATTTGTCAAGTAAAATTAAAAAAACAGAATTGCAGGGTTTTAAATAAATTTTTATGAACTAAAATAGTCCTGTCATTGACTCCACCAATACATTTTTTCATTTTTTTCTAGAAATAAATTTTTATACGCTGAATTTAAACAACTCCGGGCTTTTAGAATAAAAATTGATAACTTTATGTAAAATTCACGAAGAAGCGGCAAACCCAATAAAAAAAGAAAGAATCAAATTACCACCAAATTAAAAAACAAATATCAGAATTAACATAAAATGCAATTAGATTCTAATGAACTTTGCCAAATATTTTTAACAGTTTACGCACTTCAGAGATCTTCTGGGTATATGTACTCGCGAGTGTAGAATTCGCGATTGTAAACCAGCACGCGACACGTTGCATCACATGTTGTTGGGTGTCACAGACGTTTATCAAATAATCGTCACGTAACTTGTTTTAATAACGAAAGGAAAACGAAAGTGAGAGCACTCTCCGTGATAAATTTTCTGACTTAACGCAGATTGTCATGATAAAAAGCGCGATAAGCGTGCACACGTGTGGGCATTTGTCAAGGATCGTTTCGCGTACGACTCTATTATTTCCGCCTCACAGCGAAGTTCCGGATGAATTCGCGCCCATTTAACGCCGTATCGCGTTCCACTTTTGCGCTTTACTA